CCCCCCCCCCCCGTCGAGGTCGATAAATGTCCTCAGCGACGCTTCTCGCGATCTTCATCTATGGAGAAGAAAAAAGAAAAGGAAATATGCCGCGATTGTGTTTCGCGATTTCATCGATGGCGATTCTTTTCCAACGAGTTCGAAAAATTCGTAAATTGCCCTGACAATGCCGACAAGTTGGTATCTCATCGACGCACGGTGTTGACGGGCAATGGTGGGACCGTTCAAATCACGAAAATTGCCGCCCAATTCGCGACGCCTGGTTTTTCGTGCGTTTAAACGCTCGTCCGAGATACCTCGAGAGAGGGTCTCGAGCGATCTCGCAGCGAGATACGTACGATCGTCGACAGAGGGAAGATCGTATCATCCCTTGAGAATCGCCGGTCTATCTACCGTGCTCGACCTACCCGATTTCGACACCTGGGGCACACACCACGAAACGACGTTGTTACGCTCGTTTCACGCCTCGATTTAGACCGGCCCCTCTCCATTTTTTTTTTTTTTGTTTTTTCTCTTCTGTTTCCCTCGTCGCGACGAGTCTACTGGAAAATAACGTTCCCCGTCATGCGACTCGAACGCATGTCGAACGATGCGATAGAGGAAGAGAGTCGATCGAGTCAGTCGAGGATGAAAGGGCGCGATCGGTTCCTCCGGTTTTTGCGAATGGCGTGGCCAAAAGGCGGCGCGGCGAGGTTCACAATGCGGAAGACAGAAACCAGCCGGAGCAAAAGGCGAGCGAGCAAAAAACGCCAACGCGCGTCTAGCGATTTCCGATTGTAAACGCGAAACGTTTCGTCCAATTAAGTTCAATTGTCGCGGTTTTGTCCGGCTGAGAGAGCTACCCCCGCTGGCGCTGGCCGAAGGCACAGCGCCTCTCGGTTTGTTTGCGTTTCATGGAAATTTCCGGAACGAGACGAGCCGAGGCGTAACGGTGCGACGTTTCATCGATTACCGAGCGGCGTGTCTCGATTATCGCGTTCAATCAACACGAAGAAAGATGCCCAAGATCGGGCGACGTGATCGAGCAAGGTTAATCGCCCTCTTTATCATCGTTCTGGCCGATGTTGATTACCTCGTCGTCAATTCTGATCCCGTTGTCGTCCCACATCGGATCGTGTAATTCCATTAGAACGCCCATTGTTTCGACAATCAGTCGCGGAGATCGCGAGAGGGTTGCACGATTATATCCCCGCTTATATCTAGTAGTTTCGACTCTATGCGGATTCCGTCTCGCGATTCGCGAAGCAAGGGAAGATTTCGCGACGAGAAGCAAGGAGGGCAAAGGTTAAACAGACAGAAAAAGGGAAAAAGGAGGCAGACTGACCGTCGATCAGAGACACCGGAGGCACGGTCATCTGTTGATGGTGATGCGCAGCTGGGTGCTGATGATGATGCGGCGGATGGACCTGAAACAGATGCGACCTCGTCTGCGAGAATGTCGGCGAGGGTGGTTCCCAAGGACGCGCAACGCCGATGCTGACGGGCGCGTCGTCGTCGTGGCAGCAAAACTTGTCGGTGGCCGTTGCGGGTCCGCTGGCGCAATTTACCACCGCGTGTCCCTCGTTGTTGTTGTTGTTGTTGTTTGCCACGTCTCCACTGTTGTTGTTGTTATTGTTATTATTATTGTTGTTGTTGTTATTGTTGTTGTTGTTGTTGCTACTGGCAAGGTTGTTGCTGTTGGTTATACGCGTAGTAGTCGCGCCTGTCGCCGGACTACCACTACCACTAGCACTGCCACTGACACTACCACTGCCAATGCCGTCGACCTGCACCATTTCGCTGTCGATCGCAGCCGCCGACTTGGCAGTACCAGGAGGGGTCGCGACGCCGCCACCGATCATCATCACCAGACGATCACCTCCACCCCCTCCACACCGGGCACCAGCTCCTCCTCCTCCTCCTCCCCCTCTGCCTCCACTTCTGCAGCCACACCGTGTCCCCTACGCTACGATTCGTCTCTCTTCCTGCTTGCGGTCGAGTGTGTCCGACGGATCCACGCCGTGTTTCCACCCAAATGTTTCCCTGACCTTTCCTGAACTCCTTTCCTCTTCTCTCGCGCGACCTTTCCTCTTCCACGACGGGTGGTTCGGCGGACGACGAAAGCGATCGTCGAGCGTTTCGAGCTGATACGTGGTGTCACCGGAAGGCACGAGTATCTCGTCGACGAGAGTAGTATATCGGGCTGAGTTTCGCGGCGCGAGAGGATGAAAAAACGGAGGAGAAGACGTCTGAAGAAGAGGAAGTAGAAGAAGAAGAAGAAGAAGAAGAAGAAGAAGAAGAAGAAGAAGAACGAGGCAACGAGGTCGGTCCTCGTGCGCGCACTTGGTTGTTAGCCACTCACTCGGTGTCACAAGATGCGACGGTCGGTGCGTGTACCGCGCTGGCGCAGAAGCGCGCGAGCGCAATCGACGCCAGGCTCCGGCGTAGCTTCCTGCGTCCGTCGATTAACCAAGCAGAATGACATCCTGCCTGACGGTCCGTCGGCGAACGCGATTCATCACGGCGCGAGCTTTCACGTCGGCTGTCGCGTCTACGTGGACGAGCGTAGTCGATGCGAGGAGGTAACGACGAGGAGTGCTCGCGGGCGCAGGCGCTTCGTCGAAGCTCGTGACTACCTATAGACGTGTGTGCCCTTCTCTACCTTCCCACCCTCCGCCTCTCCTCTCCTCTCCTTTCTTCTCTTCTCTTTGCTCGCTCTTTTCCTGCCTTTCTTCCCCCTTTCTCTCTCTCTCTCTCTCTCTCTCTTCCTCTCGCTCGGTCGCGCCGCGTCTTGCTCTCTCTCTCTCTCTCTCTCTCCTTCCGTCCTCCCTCCCTCCCTCCAATGACGGCCGATGTGCCGACGCGAGGTATACGCGCTACCACGGGATAACCTGCTCGCGCTCCGCCGGATTCGAGCAGATTGCCTTCCGTTCGGGCTTTCGAAGCGCGCCAACGACTAGCTTCACCCCCACCTTGTCGCGCTTCGCGACACCGCACCAGCGCTGGCTACTCGCATCCGGCTGACATCCAGATTTCAGGTAACCACAGTTTCTCTACTTGCCCTTCGTTCACACCCGGCCTTCTTCGCTCCGTGTCTGTCACTTTACGTCTTTCTTCGTCTTTCGCTCCTCTTCAGACAGACCTCTTTCTCTTCTTCATCGGCCACGAATCACGTCTGTCGGTTGCTTCTCTCTGTTTACGCCGTGCCGATCGCGAACATGTCTCGAACACGTCTCGTTCGAACGTTGACCGCGCACTCGACGACACGTGATTCCTCTCTGCAACCCCTTGGTGATCGACAGCCTCCGAATCGGTGACGCGTGTGCCAAGAATCTAACGCACAAAAGATGTGAGAAGAAGAAGAAGAAGGAGAACGATGTAACACGAGTACACGGGGTAACCTGCTCGCGGTCCGCCGGATTCGAGCAGATTGCCTTCCGTTCGCGTTCGGTGGCTCGAAGCGCGCCCAGACTAGCCTTACCCCCACCCTCCCGGCTGTTGAGTCGAGGTGAGATCAAGATTTAAGGCGCCGCGGCGCGGCGTGGCACGGTGTAGCGCGGACCGGCAGCGCCAGTGCTGACGAAGACGAACAGGATGACGAGGACGAAGCAACGACAACGATCAGGAGTAAGAGGACGAGAGACGAGAGACGAAGCGTCGTCGTCGTCGTCGTCATCATCATCATCACCACCATCATCATCATCATCATCATCATCATCAGCAACAACAACAACAGTAATAGCACAGAGGGCTTGCACGATTGCGATCTCGCGCGCACACGCAGAGATCGGATCGTCGAACGACGACGAAGAGGAGCAAAGCAGAGCAGAGAGAAAGAGCGAGAGCGAGCGAGCGAGCGAGCGAGAGAGAGAGAGAGAGAGGGAGAGGGAGAGGAGGACAGTGTTGTGTGTGGCTTATAGTGGAAGCGGCAGCGAGTCGAAGGGGGAAGCCGGGAGAGCCGCGCGCCGAGGATTCATGGAACAAGTCACCGGCTAAAGGCAGCCAAGTGCGCACTCTACGCCGCGCATCTGAGCTTACTCGACGCCCACCGACCATTACCGGCTCGATCGACCAATTGGGCGAACCGGTGGACGCCCACCGATCTGTTCGACCGAACGTTCGTCGTCGCCCACGCCACGAGAGTACTCGGGGCGCCCTTCTTCCGCCTTCCGTTTTCCGTCTTCCAACCTTCCGTTCTCTCCTCGAGAACCCCTTTGTCCCTTCCGCGGACCGGATCGATCAATTCCCGAATCGGATGTCGATGTCGGATGCCGACTACGCTCCGGAATCGCTGATTCCAACGATTATCTTGCCTCGATACTTTTCCTCGTCCTCCTACCTGCTCTTTGCCCCCGCTCTTTGCGTTTTTTCGAGTGTTTCTCCCTCGCGACAATTTTTGAATGATTCGAGCCTGTGGCAGGAAGCAAGAATGTGTTTGTCGAAAACCTTCCACCTCTTGACATATTGTTGACCGGCAACTTTCAAGCTATTGTTTCGTAATTGACTATGAACGTGAAACGATCTAAATAAACTTCGAGATACTTTATTTGTGCAGAATGAATTTAAATAAAACTTTGTATGTCTCTTATATATATTATACTTTATACATGTAATATATTTTAGTAATTTTTTTTTGGCAGTGATAAATTGTATAACAATCACCTACGTGTAATGCGATGCACAACAGGTTTCGTTGCAATATATTTCAAAATCACTCGGACAATCAGATGAAGCGTCTGCATGCAATTCGTTGGAAAGTTCTTCACCGTTACGATCCGTCGTGATTGAAATTTTTCTAACACTAGAAACCTAGATATCTTTTTATGACAGAGTGAACACGATTGAACACGACGGAGACAGATTTCACGATATCCTGTGTTACCCGGAGTGTCAACAATTAAAATAGCTAATGCAAGTGTTGTATTGCAAAATTAAATACATCCCATTCGTTTACGTTAATTATATTTTTGTTTTGAACGATTTTTTGCTTTTAATGTTTATGGAACCAGGGATCACAAGCGTCGCGCTACGATCACCGATCCTCGAGCCTGTTTGTTTATTGCCAAGTCGAAACGTTCTATTTCAATCTTCTCATCGACATGGTTTATCATCTTTTTTGCCTCGTTTACAACAAAACGATCAAACGGATCTTCCAATGCGATTGGCTAATCAAGCCAATCACATTACATTAGTATCAGCAAAATTCTTAGTCAAATCAGTCAGCATCAGGAAAATATTCAAATCAAGATATTCTAGTTGGACAAGCCATTACATAGTCCAAGTCGTACAAAACGACTTAACAGCAAGTGCAAACACGAGTTGACGTGACTGATCAACAATGCGTTAAGGGCCCCGTTGAAACACGTATTGACTTCTGATCTCTCTGAGATCAGAGTCAGTTTTCTTGCCGATTCACCGGTTCATCGAGCTACATCGTGTAACCTAAAAATCGATGCGTGCAGCGTCGCGTGTTTCAAGATTATGTGTGTGTGGAGATCTTAC